ACACTAACTATAATTACCGGAAACTGATTAGTTACAACATCAAGCGTAACTTTTGAAGAAGAATGACTGGAGTCGAGCAGGTGTAAGGTTCTCCGAGCCATTACAGTGACCAACAGTCCTGGTTGTCGTCGGCGGCGGCGGCAGTGGGTTAAGAATGGTGACAGCATAGATTAGAAACTTTGATCCGTGAGGTTTCGCTGTGCGTCGTGCCAAGAGGTTGTCACCAGCAAGTAGCCGTCGATTACATCTGCCGAGGTGCCAGTGCCAAATAGAGCCAGCCAGAACACACACACACACACACACACACACACACACACACACACACACACACTATCCTTGACTGATACTTCTACACTGTGTGTGACCAGTTTGAGAAGCCGGGTGTTTGCTGGTACTAAATTAATCAAGTGTCTTTTTTAAAAAGAGTGACTTGAGCGACACATTTGTGTGTAGTTTAGAGAAATATGTAGTGGCCCATTCTTTAGTGTAGGTGATGGCTGTAGCAACACACACATGTGGTGGTGGGGGACTTACATAGGACAAAATTAGGGGGGATCACTGGGGTATTGGATATGGTTGTCACGCGGGCCTATAGCTGCGGTATTCGTCGACTGTGTATACAATGGACAGTCTAGCGAGAGTTGAATAACCAACTTGAGACTGACGAATACACGAAGAGCCATTTGAGGTACAAATCTTTGAGGTCTTTGACGATTAGAGTGACAGCCTCTTAGTCGCCTGACAACTGTCCTTGCCTACTACCAGCTGTTCCTCAATTAGAGACTTGGCCAGGATTCACAGCACTTACGAGCCCATTTAAGAGATCTGGGGCCAGATTCACTAAGCAGTTACGCAAGCACTTACGAACCTGCACATCTTTTTTCAATCTTTGGAGGCTTTGTTTATAATTATTAAACAGTTAATGAGCTCCGAAGCACCAGGAGGCTGTTTATGACAATAACAACAGTTGATTGGCAAGTTTTCATGCTTGTAAACTGTTTAATAAATGAAACCAAAGCCGTCAAAAATTGAGGAAAGATATACACGTTCGTAAGTACTAGCGTAACTGCATCGTGAATATGGCCCCTGCACCGGTTACCTAGAACATGGCGGCTTAGTCGGGGTTTACCAGTTTATAAGTCTGAAGCTCGTAACTGGTCGTTCTAAAGTTAACCGTTCTGGACGCCTTAGTTGTTCTTTGAGACTTATTAACTGTTGACAGATCTCTTGAGTGAATATGCAAATGTTCTGTGAATCTTCTTGGTTCTTCTTAGTAAAATGTTCTTAGTTTGCTGTTCGTATGTTCTCTAGATAATCACAGACGTTATTCACCCCTTACCATACGATGAACAACCAGCCAATTGATTATTCAATCCATTAGAGGGATTATTCAATCCGTTACCGAGACATGGACAATATATTAGACTCACGGCTAGTTGGCTGGCCCGGCTACGTGTGGCCAAAGGAACATGATGGATTGTGCAGACTTGATGGACAACCATTTTAGATAGAGGGAGGAGAACTCTTGTCTGACAGGTAAGGAGTGTAATAGAGACGGGTGGTATAGACAGGAAGCCTGCGGGGCTCGTCTCCAGACACCTGAAGACGTGGTCTGGCGTCCGAGCTGCGATAATTAGGTCGTTGCTGTTAGTCACGGCGACTTCCTTCCCTCCTCCTCCTCCTAACCTGTAGAGCGTCCGTGATTTAAAGATCATGTACGGGTTGAGTCATCTTTAGTTTCCTGTAAAATGTACGGACAACTGTTGACTTCTTAGTCTCCGTAGTTCGTCGTGGCATTCCAAGAAACCGCTCCTTGGTAATACTTTCCTCCGATCATTTACTGAAGTTCATCTCCTTTTGGAATGTCATCAGTTTCTTCATGTAGTCCAAAAGGTTCGCTCAAAGAGGCGCCTCCTGATTCCTCCCTTCCAGGTGTCCACTAACGGGTTGAGGTTATACACGAACTCTTTGAAAGATCCTATCGGTACATCGTGTGTTGGGTTTCATATGTCGAAAAGAATATGATCTTGTGTGCGCGTCTCTGCGCGCGAACTTATGCCATTGTCCGTGTGCGAGAGATTAACATTCAAGCTAGCTTTGTGTTCCAGCTTTCCCCTCAGTTCCTTCATCGCTTAGTCGATACTATGGGTTCCCTGGATTTGTATGTTCCAGTGGTTTCGGCGAGACTTGTGCATTCTCGCTCTTGTCGGCAGTTGGGAGCCAGTTGTTCCGTGGACGCTGTTGGCCATTTGAGATTGTAGGATATCAAGGGAGGGGGGGGGGGATAGTGGTATATATATAACCCCGTGTTGCAGAGTGTCTGGACTTTGGCCACTACTTCGCGTGGCCTTTTACCAGCTTGTCTCTCCATCCTCCCTCCCATCCATCCATCCCATCCATCCCTCCCATCCATCCCTCCAACCATCCTTCCTTCCCGCCTTCGCTTCACTACAATCATTTCTCTCTACCTCACCTTTCTTTCTCACCATCCTTATCTCTCTCTCTCTCTAATTCCCCTTGTATCCTTATATTTCTTGCATCCAGTAATTCTTCCTCCCGGCCCGTGTATAGTTTTCTTAAAAACTTCATCATTCTGAAAACATTTCCATCATACCTATTAAACACTTTTTCATGCCTTAAAGCCTTCGCCTCCCTAAAAGTCATGCATCTCTCTCTCTCTCTCTCTCTCTCTCTCTCTCTCTCTCTCTCTCTCTCTCTCTCTCTCTCTCTCTCTCTCTCTCTCTCTCTCTCTCTCTCTCTCTCTCTCTCTCTCTTTTTCTCTTTCTCTCTCTCTCTCTCTCGGGGGCTCTTGAGGCACCCGGGGTCGTTTCTCCGTAACGGCACCGTTAAATTCCTGTTAACGGGGGAGCCAGAAGTCCCGTTAGACGACGGGGTGCGTGGTTGGTTGGCGGCCCTTCCGGTTACGAGCGGCCAGATAGAGGATGTCCCATTCATGCCGGGTTGACAGGACTTGGGGGGGAGGGGGTCGATCCCCCCCTCCTCCCGCCCCCTGTCTTGATTCTCCATTTTCACGCATTTGTTTGATGCGTTTTGACTTTAGTCAATAGTTTTCATGTAAGCAGGTCTCGAGTTTTGAAGTGTTGATGTATCGGGAGATTAGCTGTGCTTCCTGAGAGATCTGTGAGCTGGGCGTGGTTTCTTGAGGCTTCTGGGAGATGTAATAATAATAATATAGGTTTAGAATGATCACTTTAGGGCACTATTTACACTCGTGTTGTAAATAGTGTCATTGTCCAGTCTTACTTTTAAAACTTTGAAGAAAGTTTTAAAAGTAAGGTTTATTCTGAATCCTCGTAACAGGTTCTAACTTAATTATCTAATTTATACATACCTTGAGGTGCTTCCGGGGCTTAGCGTCCCCGCGGCCCTGTCGTCGACTAGGCCTTAACATTGTCATATATGTTATATATAGCAGACACAAGTGTGTGTGTGTGTCCGGTTAACGAGATACTCGGCTTGATTGTGTAATGAATGAGTTATCCGAATGTATTTTCTTCATTCACTCATTGTCTTCTCGAAGACATGTCTTGTTCAAGTATAAAAGTGGCTGGGTAAGCGGAAGCGATTGTGCCTACCTGAGTGTTCGGTTATAAAGACACTGCTTCTGGGTACCAGAACGAACGTTTAGGTGAACGTTTCCTCACTGCAGGACTTGTAATGAACGCTTCCGGTCGTTTAGATGGCCATCCGGTTGGTAGACGGTCATATTATATAGTTATATATATGAGAATGTATACCCTCCCACCCCTTGCATCTTGGGATGTATGTATACCCGCCATCTTGGGGTGAGAGTATGTATACCCACCATGTAGGTGTGTATATATAGACCCCCCCCCCCTGCATCTTAGTATCTTGAGCATCGTAAGCATGTTCCCACCTGGACATGTGTCCGGTAGTGAGGTGTAGTAGTTTAGAACTTAGGAAAGACTTAGTGGTATATGCGAGGTAGCTGCTGTTTATACCCATCTCAACCTCATCCGTGTCTAGCCTTGGCTCGAAACAATTCAGCCACCCCACGACTATCATCTCCGGTAATTTGTTCCATGAGATGACAATCCTATTCCCAAACCATATCCTGGTGTTTTTGTCTGAAGCTAAACTTGTCCAATTTGTATCCATTGGTTTGTGCTGCTCGTCGCGCGGATCTCAAGGGGGCGAGATTGGTACCGGGTGTGAGGGGCTCAAGGGGGCGAGATTGGTACCGGGTGTGGGGGGGGGTTCCACGCTGGCTGCAGCTGTGGGCTGCAGAATTGGTCTCGTGTACGTTGTCAACGTTCTGAATGAACCACGGCTTAACATACCCCCATAGCCACTTGTTACGTTTGGCAATAGTGCATTATACCTATACATTTTTTGTCTTAAAAATCGGCCGCCATCTTAAAAGGAAAGCTTGGGTTAATTCCACTACGCGGAATAAGCACTACGGGCTCACCATAGCCCGTGCTGCTTGAGACGTTTTGTTCCAAGAAGCGAATCTTAACAGCAATGCGTTTGTTTCTTATGGGGGGGGGGTTAATTCCACTCCGGAATTCAACTATATCAACGACCTGCTGCCAGATTTAAGACGCTGATAGGGGGGGGGGGAGGGAGAGGTTAGCGACCCTGCTAAAATTGGCTGGTTAGAGAGACGGGTGGCAGTCTTTGATGTTCATTTTAGGCCGAGTTATTGTTGGAAGGTCATGATGGGGAAATTAACATAATTTACTTCTGCGACCGACGTCGTTGTTAAAATTAGTTCAATGTCACAATAGAGGTTAAGGCTTACGCGTACGTACATGGCACGTACACACACACGCTGGGCACGTACACACACACGCTGGGCACGTACACACACACGCTGGGCACGTACACACACACGCTGGGCACGTACACACACACGCTGGGCACGTACACACACACGCTGGGCACGTACACACACACACTGGGCACGTACACACACACGCTGGGCACGTACACACACGCTGGGCACGTACACACACACACTGGGCACGTACACACACGCTGGGCACATATACACACAGGTGAAGGGGCAAGTAAGTTGTAGGAAGACTTAAGGAAAATGCTGAGAACATAACTCTACACGGAGTGAACATACCCACAAATAAGAGAACAATACCCACAAATAAGAGAACAAATAAGAGAACAATACCCACAAATAAGAGAACAATACCCACAAATAAGAGAACAATACCCACAAATAAGAGAACAATACCCACAAATAAGAGAACAATACCCACAAATAAGAGAACAAATAAGAGAACAATACCCACAAATAAGAGAACAATACCCACAAATAAGAGAACAATACCCACAAATAAGAGAACAATACCCACAAATAAGAGAACAATACCCACAAATAAGAGAACAATACCCACAAATAAGAGAACAATACCCACAAATAAGAGAACAATACCCACAAATAAGAGAACAATACCCACAAATAAGAGAACAAATAAGAGAACAATACCCACAAATAAGAGAACAATACCCACAAATAAGAGAACAAATAAGAGAACAATACCCACAAATAAGAGAACAATACCCACAAATAAGAGAACAAATAAGAGAACAATACCCACAAATAAGAGAACAAAGAATAATAAAGTTGAAAAAGAATATAAATAACTAAGAGCTCTGAAGCCTCTCTTAAAAAAAAGTCAAAATAGTGCCGGAAAACAATAAAGAATAGAACGTTGATGAACACTTTGAAGAAGAAGAAGAAGCGGGAAGAGGAGGAATGAACAACTTGAACAGAAGGAAGAACGGACGGAGAGAACAAGAGAACGGCACCATTGGCAGGCAGTTGGCACGGGTGCCAGTTCGCCAGCTCAGGAGACCACGCGCACAAAAAGGTAAAGAATTCTCCTATATATTTGTTGTTGTTGATCTCCAGGCCTGGTGGAGGGCCGCCCCTGGGAAAGGGGAGGCGGCCCCTGGGAAAGGGGAGGCGGCCCCTGGGAAAGGGGGAGGCCCCTGGGAAAGGGGAGGCGGCCACTGGGAAAGGGGGAGGCCCCTGGGAAAGAGGAGGCGGCCCCTGGGAAAGGGGAGGCGGCCCCTGGGAAAAGGGAGGCGGCCCCTGGGAAAGGGGAGGCGGCCCCTGGGAAAGGGGAAGGCGCCCCTGGCTTCAGGAGGCGCGATCGCCATCAGAGTCGCCAACGCTACCACCCATGGCGCTGTGTGTGTGTGTGTGTGTGTGTGTGTGTGTGTGTGTTGCGGGGAGGGGGTGGAGGTTCCCTGTTACAGCCAACACTTTTTTTGTGGCTCATTACTCTCCCACGCCCAGACCCGCCCCCCTCTCTCTCTCCCACGCCCAAACCCGCCCCTCTCTCTCTCTCTCTCTCCCACGCCCAGACCCGCTCCCCCTCTCTCTCCCACGCCCAGACCCGCCCCCCTCTCTCTCTCTCCCACGCCCAGACTCGCTCCCCTCTCTCTCTCCCACGCCCCGACCCGCCCCTCTCTCTCTCTCTCACGCCCAGACCCGCCCCTCTCTCTCTCCCACGCCCAGACCCGCCCCCTCTCCCACGCCCAGACCCGCCCCCTCTCCCACGCCCAGACCCGCCCCCTCTCCCACGCCCAGACCCGCCCCCTCTCCCACGCCCAGACCCGCTCCCTCTCCCACGCCCAGACCCGCCCCTCTCTCCCACGCCCAGACCCGCCCTTCTCTCTCTCTCCCCCACGCCCAGACCTGCCCCCCTCTCTCTCTCCCACGCCCAGACCCGCCCCCCCTCTCTCTCTCCCACGCCCAGACCCGACCCCCTCTCTCTCTCCCACGCCCAGACCCGCCCCCCCTCTCTCTCCCACGCCCAGACCCGCCCCCCCTCTCTCTCTCCCACGCCCAGACCCGCCCCCTCTCTCCCACTCCCAGACCCGCCCCCCCCCTCTCTCTCTCCCACGCCCAAACCCGCCCCTCTCTCTCTCCCACGCCCAGACCCGCCCCCTCTCTCTCTCCCACGCCCAGACCCGCCCCCTCTCTCTCTCCCACGCCCAGACCCGCCCTCTCTCTCTCTCTCTCTCCCACGCCCAGACCCGCCCTCTCTCTCTCTCTCCCACGCCCAGACCCGCCCCCCTCTCTCTCCCACGCCCAGACCCGCCCCCCTCTCTCTCCCACGCCCAGACCCGCCCCCCCCCCTCTCTCTCTCCCACGCCCAGACCCGCCCCCCTCTCTCTCCCACGCCCAGACCCGCCCCCCTCTCTCCCACTCCCAGACCCGCCCCCCCCCCTCTCTCCCACTCCCCAGACCCGCCCCTCTCTCTCTCTCACGCCCAGACCCGCCCCCTCTCTCTCTCTCCCACGCCCAGACCCGCCCCCTCTCTCTCTCTCCCACGCCCAGACCCGCCCCCTCTCTCTCTCTCCCACGCCCAGACCCGCCTCTCTCTCTCTCCCACGCCCAGACCCGCCCTCTCTCTCTCTCTCCCACGCCCAGACCCGCCCCTCTCTCTCTCTCTCTCCCACGCCCAGACCCGCCCCTCTCTCTCTCTCTCCCACGCCCAGACCCGCCCTCTCTCTCTCTCTCTCCCACGCCCAGACCCGCCCTCTCTCTCTCTCTCTCCCACGCCCAGACCCGCCCTCTCTCTCTCTCTCTCCCACGCCCAGACCCGCCCTCTCTCTCTCTCTCTCCCACGCCCAGACCCGCCCTCTCTCTCTCCCACGCCCAGACCCGCCCTCTCTCTCCCACGCCCAGACCCGCCCTCTCTCTTTCCCACGCCCAGACCCGCCCTCTCTCTCTCTCTCCCACGCCCAGACCCGCCCTCTCTCTCTCTCTCCCACGCCCAGACCCGCCCTCTCTCTCTCTCTCCCACGCCCAGACCCGCCCTCTCTCTCTCCCACGCCCAGACCCGCCCTCTCTCTCTCTCTCCCACGCCCAGCCCTGCCCCCTCTCTCTCTCTCTCCCACGCCCAGACCTGCCCCCTCTCTCTCTCTCCCACGCCCAGACCCGCCCCCCCCTCTCTCTCTCTCCCACGCCCAGACCCGCCCCCCTCTCTCTCTCCCACGCCCAGACCCGCCCCCCTCTCTCCCCCACGCCCAGACCCGCCCCCCTCTCTCCCACGCCCAGACCCGCCCCCCTCTCTCCCACGCCCAGACCCGCCCCCCCTCTCTCTCTCCCACGCCCAGACCCGCCCCCTCTCTCTCTCCCACGCCCAGACCCGCCCCCTCTCTCTCTCCCACGCCCAGACCCGCCCCTCCCCCCTTCTCTCTTACGCCCAGACCCGCCCCTCCCCCCTTCTCTCTCACGCCCAGACCCGCCCCTCCCCCCTTCTCTCTCACGCCCAGACCCCCCCTCCTGGGTTTTACTGGCTCCCACCTAGGGTAGTGAAGAGGATGGAGAGGCACAGGTCCTTGCGTCCTTACACGTGGGATGGCTACATCATACCCTATCCCGGTTTACCTGTCCCATATAACCACCCTCCCATCCCTTCTCCCTGCCCCCCCCCCTCACTATCATTATGATAGTGAAGGGGAGGCAGGGAGAAGGGAAGGCTCGACTGGGCTCTATCATATCTACATTTGAAACTGTGTATGGAATCAGCCTCCACCACATCACTGCCTAATGCATTCCACTTGTTAACTACTCTGACACTGAAAAAGTTCTTTCTAACGTCCCTGTGGCTCATGTGGGTACTTAGTTTCCACCTGTGTCCCCTTGTTCGCGTACCACCCGTGTTAAACTGTTTATTCTTATCTACCCTGTTAATTCCTCTTGAGAATTTTGTAGGAAGTAATCATGTCTCCCCTTACTCTTCTGTCTTCCAGGACATGTGTGTGTATTTACCTAGTTGTGCTTGCGGGAGGTTGAGCATTGCTCTTTCGGCCCGCCTCTCAACTGTCAATTAATCAACCGTTTCTAAGTACTAATTTTGTTAACCCACACACACACACACACACATACACCCTAGGAAGCAGCCCGTAACAGCTGTCTAACTTCCAGGTACCTAATTTACTACTAGGTAACACGGGCATCAGGGTGAAAAGAAACTGCCAATTTTTGTCTGCCGGCGTCGGGAATCGAACCCGGGCCACAGGATTAAGAGTCCCGCGTGCTGCCCTCCCAGCTACCAGACCCCTGGTAACAAGTGCCCGTGGAATATATAGTTGATATGTTTAAAAAAAAATAACTAGGTCGAGGGGTGAGTACATTAGTGAATCGCCAGTTAGTAAGGTTGGGGTCCCAGAACTAACAGCTCGATTGTTCAGGTACATAGAGTAAATGGTAATAGTAAATACACCGAGATGGTGTATTTACAGGTTCACTACTGATTGACGGTTGAGAGGCGGGACCAAAGAGCCAGAGCTCAACCCCCCGCAAGCACAAATAGGTGAGTACTACTACTCAATCTATACACACATGACTAAGCTACACCTTAGTTTTGAACTTTGTTCAGGTAGAGAATTCTTACTGGCTATTGGGAGCCGGTCGGCCGAGCGGACAGCACGCTGGACTTGTGATCCTGTGGTCCCGGGTTCGATCCCGGGCGCCGGCGAGAAACAATGGGCAGAGTTTCTTTCACCCTATGCCCCTGTTACCTAGCAGTAAAATAGGTACCTGGGTGTTAGTCAACTGTCACGGGCTGCTTCCTGGGGGTGGAGGCCTGGTCGAGGACCGGGCCGTGCGGGACACTAAAGCCCCGAAATCATCTCAAGATAACCCCAAGCAGGACGTATTGAGGCCTTAATAACCCTCGCTACTGTTACATCTTACGACCCCCCAACCACGATCCCGATTCATAAAGCACTTACGCGCGCGTACTTACGAACATGTACATCTTTCCTCTTTGCCGGCTTTGTTTACATTTATTAAACAGTTAACAAGCATGAAAACTTGCCAACCAACTGTTGTTACTGTTATAAACAGCCTCCTGGTGCTTCGGAGCTCATTAACTGTTTAATAATTGTAAACAAAGCCGCCAAATATTCAGAAAAGATGGACAGGTTCGTAAATGCTTGGGTAACTGCTTCGTGAATCTGGGCCCAGATCACCCCGACCAATGTTTACCCCTAATTGCTTGTAGAACTTGGAGCACGGGTCTGCCACACACATGGAGACCCGGGGTATAAAGGTTAGGCAAAGGAAGACATTTGTATCGAAATAAAGTAACCTTTGTAACAGGTTACCGGTCCGGGATGTAGATGCTAACGTCGGTCCGCCCAACCGTTGTGGCAGACTGGGTCTCACTCCCCCTATACACCCGTGTTTACGGAATGTCGTACAAGCCGGGGGAAGGCCGGGTACCGTACATCTAAGGAGATGATTAGCGGCGTTACCCCTTTTGCCGGGGCAACAAGGCGGGGACAATGGACCTTGGTAAAGTGTGGCGCTAGGCTCAAGTTAGCGGGCTGGCTGGCTGGCAAGGGCGAGGTAACGCGATACCTCCTACCTTGCCAGACCTTCGCTCAGGTATGTATAGCAACGATAACACTCCACCTATGTCCGCCACTTTGTCGAGTGAAAATGTATCGGATGGGCATCCCAGTTTTAACCTCCAGGAACGGCAAGTGTTCCGGCGCCGGTGTGAAGTAAATATATGACAGATTGGGCGGGGTAAGCAGACGAGGACATTTTGGCGCGTAGAATGTCAGGGACCTCATCCGTATGCCCCGACACGACTCTGACTTCGATTTAAATCTGGGGCGTGATGTGTTTTTATTGGGGAACTCGTGTGGAGACTCAGGGTGAATTTATTTCTCCTGGCGAAGGCGTACACAGAATGGCGTGCCGCCGTGAGCTGGGGTGATTGACAGGGCAACAGGCAGAGAGACGGAGGCAGGAGGGAAAGCGAGAAGTGCAAAAGACCAGACTATGAACCGGAAAGAGCAAATTAGGAGACACCAAAGAACAGTTTGGTAGACAAAGAGA